TGTGTCGTGGCGCTGCTGCACGGGGGGACAGGCTGCGGGATGGGATCATGGCACTGCTGCACGGGGGGGCAGGCTGCGGGATGGGATCATGGCACTGCTGCACGGGGGGACAGGCTGTGGGATGGGATCCGGGCACTGCTGTGGCCAAGGCTGGAGCACGCAGGGCCTGCAGCACAGAGGGTGCAGAGCCCCTGGGTGACCCTGGCCAGGGCTGTGCTGAGGTTGGGGACGTTGCTGCTTCCCCCAGGGGCCACGCAGGGCAGAGAAATACCCCGGTGTTTGCTGTCGCAGGTGTGTGTTTCTGAAGGCGTGCGTGGCCATGGCCACAGGGGGGAAGTCCTGCGAGCCCGGCGGCCCTCGTTACACCAACCGCCTCATTAATGAGAAGTCCCCCTATCTGCTCCAGCATGCCCACAACCCCGTGGACTGGTAAGAAAGAGTCCTGCCTTTCTCCCTGCATGAACTGAAACGTGTGGGACTGCAGAAGTGGCTTTTGCAGAAGGGGTTGAAGTGGCCTGGCCTCGTTACAGGGACTGAGACGCCCCCTGCCCACCTGTGTCCAGTGTGGGCATCAGCCCGTGGTTGCACTTGCGGCTTGGCCCTCACACTGTGCTGCGTTCCAGGCTTGCGAGCGGGGTCGATGCAGTTCAGAGCGGTGCCCTGGCTGCTCTACGTCACACAGCAGCCGGGACCCAGGCCGCCCCTAAAGCTGTGACAGCTGGAGCTTGTTTCTTGTCTCTACAGGTACCCCTGGGGTCAGGAAGCCTTTGATAAAGCAAAGAAAGAAAACAAGCTGATATTTCTGTCAGGTAACTGGGAACAAGACGTATTAAACTCTCCTGCATGTCACTGGGTAGATGATGAGATAAGCTGGGCTGCTTTGCCTGAGCCGGTGTGTAAATAGCCCCGTAGGTAAAGATGCGGGTTAGTGATTCTCCATCAGCAAGAGACGCAGGTGTCTGCGTTAATGGGCCCTGGCTGCAAATGGGCTGCACCCAGGGGCCTCTTGCCAGCAGAGTGCTTGGGTCCTGCCCTTGGAGCAAGAGCCGGATTGTTCAGGAGGCCTTGCAGGTCTCTGTGCTTGATGCAAGGCTTTTTCCTTGAGGCTCTTTTCCAGTTGGGAAAGCAACTGGTCCCCTTAGCAAGGTACTGCATGCTCTAAGAGATCTCCCCACAGGCCGTGTGTCCTGCTTCTCAGCACAGGGCCTCTCCTCACTTGCTTGAACTTGTTTGCAGTTGGCTATTCCACCTGCCACTGGTGCCACGTGATGGAGGAGGAATCCTTCAAGAACAAGGAGATCGGTGAGATCATGAGCAAGAACTTCGTGTGCATAAAAGTGGATCGTGAGGAGCGGCCAGATGTGGACAAAGTGTACATGACCTTTGTGCAGGTAGGAGGTGAGGCCAGGCTCACGTGGGCTTTGGCCACCGCTCAGGATGCGGCCCATGGCCTCGTTCCTCAGGCGAGAAGTGGTGGAGGTCTTGGGAGCTCAGTGTGTTCGGCGGTCCAGAAGAGGCCACGATCCCAGGGATGCAGCAGAACACCGGCTCCTCCACGTGTGCAGTGCATGCGCGTGCCAGAGGGCCTTTCGCGTGCTCTTGGTGCAGCTGTGCCTTCTCTTCCAGGCAACCAGCGGTGGAGGCGGGTGGCCGATGAGCGTGTGGCTGACTCCAGACCTCAAGCCCTTTGCCGGGGGGACGTACTTCCCGCCGGACGATCGCGTTTACCGCGTTGGCTTTCGGACTTTGCTGCTCCGAATCGCTGAGCAGGTACAGGGGATGGGGAAGGGGGCTGCAGACAGGGGTTGAATAAGGGGAAATCTGCAGAAAATTTGCAATAGGATTGGTAGGTGAGTGAGCTGAGAGAAAGTTATTGGAATTAGTAGCATGAGGAACAGAAAAGAGTTTTAGGTGAGTTAATGGTGGATTTGAGCTGATCTGGAAAGGGAGCTTGAGAAACAAAGGTGAAATTTGGTCTGGTGCAGTGCAGGAAGTAGAGAGACAAAGATGGCAGGATTGATCTTTCTTATTTTTCCTAGTGGAATCAGAACAAAGATGCTCTGTTAGAGAACAGTCAGAAGATCATGGAAGCACTTCAGATCCAGGCTCGGATCCGTGGCCAGGCCCAGGAGTCACCTCCACCATCCGAAGAGGTGATGGCCTTGTGTTTCCAGCAGCTCTCCAAGTCCTATGATGAAGAGTATGGTGGCTTCTCGGAGTTCCCAAAATTTCCCACCCCAGGTCAGTGTGGACCCCGTAGCTGAACTCTGCCATGGTGCAGGCGGTGCCGCATGGTCCGGAACCCACCCTGCTGCCTCCTGCTTTGTCACTATGTTTCAGTGAATTTGAATTTCCTCTTCACGTACTGGGCCCTGCACCGAAGCACCCCGGAAGGGGCCCGGGCGCTGCAGATGGCCCTGCACACCCTCAGGATGATGGCCTGCGGGGGCATTCACGACCACATCGGGCAGGTGAGAGCAGGGCCGTGGAGGGGAGCTCCAGGCGTGTCCAGGAGACGTGACATGGAGACGCATCCGCTTGGTGTCTGCAGGGGTTTCACCGCTACTCCACGGACCAGCAGTGGCACGTCCCTCACTTTGAGAAGATGCTGTATGACCAGGGACAGCTGGTGACTGCCTACACCAGGGCGTTTCAGGTACAGCCGCCGCGTTCCTGTGCAGGGAGGTGTGCTCAGCACCATGGTCCGGGCTGTGAGCGGCTGCCTCAGTTCGGGAAGCACTATGGAAACGTGTTTACCAAGATGATGCCCATGTCAGTGGGCCTAGGAGGTCCCATTCTCTTCTTTGTTGATCTAACTTCATCTGGATGCGAGAGCTGCACAAGCCTGTGGAAATCCAGCCACAGGATTCTGCGTATGAAGGAAAACAACACACTTTTCTGACTGATCTCTGCAAGAGCCTTGGAAACATCTCCTGCCCCCCCGCAGCTTGGTGCAAAGCCAGGGTTGTTATCCAGTGCCTGTAGATCTGTCTGAGATCCCACATTTTTAAATCCTTGGGTGTTCAAATGTGTTTTTCCCCTCTGATAGCTGTTTAAATCAGAATCTTGTATGCTTTTTTGTGCTTCTTTCCCCCCCAGGTCCTCTGTACTATTCCTGGAGAACTGTTATTTACTATTAGTTAATTACCATTGCAGTTACATGTACCCCGTGTCCCACACAGATCTCTGGTGATGAATTCTTTGCTGATGTTGCTGGGGATATTCTGCTGTACGTCTCCCGGGACCTAAGTGACCAGGTAAAGGTTTCCCTGAGCTGGGGCAAAGGGAGTCGCTTAGACCTGCATGGGGTTCAGGGCTGTGGGCGCGTTTGCTGCCTCCTGATCCCTTCTGATGTGGGTCTGGCTGATGTTGGTGGCACTGCTGTCCCTGCACTGCAGCCAGGCTTACCCTAATGGGGAAAACGGGAGAGAAAAACCAGTGGAAACAGGGGGAAGCCAGAGAGATGCTGCAGCAGCGGCTGGTGCTCTCTCTGTTAACGGTGCTGCGTTTTCCCAGGCCGGAGGTTTCTACAGCGCAGAGGATGCCGACTCCTACCCGACCGCCGCGTCCGCAGAGAAGCGGGAAGGGGCGTTCTGTGTGTGGACGGCCGAGGAAATCCGGGCCCTCCTTCCTGACCCTGTTGAGGGGGCTGCAGAAGGGACAACCCTGGGAGATGTCTTCATGCACCACTACGGGGTGAAGGAGGACGGCAACGTGAGCCCCGAGAAGGTGAGGGGGTGCCCGGGGCTGGGTGCCGTGGAGCTGGCCTGTCCCCGTCCCTGGTGGTGTGTGCAGAGCGGGGCTGTCCTTGCAGGACCCCCACGGGGAGCTGCGGGGCAAGAACGTGCTGATGTCCCGCTCGTCCCCGGAGCGGACAGCGGCGCGGTTCGGGCTGCCGCGGGGCCGGCTCGGCGCCCTGCTGCACCGGGGCCGGCAG